GAGGATGCGGTCGGGGTCAGACTCCTGACCAGCCGGATATCTGTCCGGCTCCCCTGCTGCGACGCAGCAGGGACACATAGCCACCACTACGATACTCGTGAATAAGGGACTCGTTGTATATCATATTCAAAAAGTGGTCATGATACCCACTATCAGATCAGCACTGGACAGTCGAATTATATGTGCTGTAGTAGACGTACATCCGAAGTAGCGGCAGACGTCGCCTGCATCGCGATGGAGACTTGGTTGCGGTGGAAGACACCCCTGGGCACAAGCGATGATCGACGTCGCAGACTCGGCCATGCGAAACCGTAACATGAACATGTCCCTCGTGCTGCCAGACTGCTCCATTCGCAAGTGCTAGTGCTCACTGTTCCTGATCCGCCAGCCTCACCCTCACAGCACTAGCCAGTGGCAGGCTCATTCATGATGCCTGATTACAACCCGTCGTCACGCTACTTTACCAGTGCTTCACAACAGCCAGCAGCAAGACACTAGACACGTGCGGCGGGCGGGTCCGCTGTAGCTGCCTTGCAATCGACGATTCCTGCTGCTGCTGCTGCTGCTGCTGCTGCAAGCCTCAAGTGCAGTCCACCACCTTGATGCCCCGCACCCCTCGCAGATGTCCGGAGGTCGACTGGCATACTTTCATCTCGCCGGGGGTTATACCAGGGGTATACCGATTTGAGAGTCCCATTGTAAAGGTACGCAAGCCGTCCCATCTCACAAAATCAGCACTGATAGATGTGGTGACGCCGCCGTGGCCTGACCGTGAGCGTGCCAGCTGCAAGCACTGCCACTGCTGATGCCCCTGAGCCCCTGACCCCCCTGTGATATGCAGCTGACAAGACTCCGTCACCGGTGGGGCGGAGACAAGAAAAGCGGCAACTGCCCGAATGACGTCGTGCTGCAATTGACTTCCCGCGACGTCAATCGGTCAACCACTCCGACGACGACCTGGGGCTGCCACGGGTAAACAAGGCGTGTTTGGGTGGACAGCCGTCGAGGTGACAGAGGTGCGGCACCTAACCATCAAGGCCAGGAACGACGACGCTGCCGGGCAGCTGCTCTGACACCCATCCAGCCCCTCAGCGCTGGCGCCGCGCTGATCACCGCAGAAGACGACCTGAGCCTCCAACAACGCAGCACCGCCGTCTCAGCAACTCGCATCACGTGCCGACGGCAATAGTACACAACCCCCACCCTCTGCGACGCGCATCCGCCAGCATGCCTCCCCGCGCGTCGGCGGCCACCGCCAGGCGCGCCGCAGAAAAGAACGCCGACGTGACCATCATCCCGAAGGAGATCCCGCTGCCCAAGACATCGGCCCGCCTGCGCTCGAACGTGGTGGAGCTGTTCGCGGACGCGCAGCAGTCCCTGGCCGGCCACAGGAAGCTGGTCGTGCGATTGCGCAAGATCCAGGAGATCTGCTGCGGGCTGCGCTCGAAAGCTGCCGCCACCAAGGCGGACGGCGGCGGCAATGATGCAGACGCAGACGGCCAGCAGCAACGGGTGCAGCAACGCGCGCAGGCCAGGCAGTTGCGCGAGCAGTACGCGCGTGCGGACCGGCTGGCGGAGGGCGAGTTCAATGCCGAGATCGCGCGCTGCCTGCTGCGCGTGCTCACGGTTAAGCGGACGGAGGGCGCCGGCGACAGGGTCAGCAAGTTCCTCGCCGCCTTCCTGATCCACGCGTCGGAGAAGGACGCCCTCATCTTCACCGCAGCTGGCGACGCTGGCGACGCCGACGACGACGACGCAACCCCCGAAACGCCCGTCTCGCGACTGACCTACGCCCTCGCTTCGACCTTCATCCCCCTGACGGCCGCCAAGGACCGCACGGTGCGCTTCCGGACCACCCAGATCCTCACACACATCGTCGGCGCGCTCACCGCGATCGACGACGAGCTATACTACGCGATCCGCCAGGCGCTGACGCGGCGCATCCGCGACAAGGAGGCCGCCGTGCGCGTGCAGGCCGTGACGGGGCTGACTAGCCTGGTCGGCGACGCCGGCGACGCCGACAGCGACACCACGGCGCTGCTCGAGCGCCTGCTCGACATCCTGCAGAACGACGCCAGCGCCGAGGTGCGCCGCGTCCTGCTGGTCGGCCTGCCGCTGTCGCGCAGGACGCTGCCGTACCTGCTCGAGCGCGCCCGCGACGTCGACACCACCACGCGCAAGGCCCTCTACGCCCGCCTGCTCCCTTCGCTAGGCGACTTCAGGCATCTGTCCCTTTCGATGCGCGAAAAGTTGCTGCGTTGGGGCGTCCAGGACCGCGACGAGGCGGTCAGGAAGGCCGCGGGGCGCATCTTCTACGAGCACTGGATCGAGGACTGCGTTTCCTCGCAGCAGCAGCAGCATGAACAAGAAGGAGCAGATGAGTCGTCGGCGCCGCCGACAGTCAGCATCCCTGCTCTGGTCGAGCTGCTAGAGCGCATCGACGTGCTCAACTCCGGCGCGGAGAACGGCGTCGCGCACGACGCCATGCGCAGCTTCTGGGACGGCCGCCCGGACTACAGGCAGGCAGTGGCGTTCGACGACGCGTTCTGGGCCGACCTCACCCCGGAATCCGCCTTCCTCGCGCGGAGCTTCAACGATTTCTGCAGGGCGGACCCAACAGGCCGCTTCGACGACCTCGTCGAGGAGAAGCTGCCCGAGGTCACCGCCGTGGCGATCTACCTGCACCGGGTGGTCGCGGAGCTGGTGGCGAAGACCCGCGCAGACCCCAAGGACGGCGCCGTCCTCGAGCTCGACTTCGTCGCCGAGCAGCTGCTGCACATCTGCCTGACGCTCGACTACAGCGACGAGGTCGGCCGGCGCAAGATGCTCATGCTGCTGCGCGAGACCCTCGCGTCGCCGGAGCTGTCGGAGGGGCTGATCCGCCTGGTCGCGGAGGCGCTCCGCACCGTCTGCGGGCCGGGCGTCAAGAACGAGGCGGAGTACTGCTCCGTCGTGCTGGAGGCGATTGCAGAGGTGCACGACACGATAGCCGCGTCGAACGCGCAGGCAGACGGCAGGACGGGGCGGTCGGAAGGCGACGACGCTGACATGATGGATGTTGATGACGACGACGACGAAGAGGAGGAGGACCAGCCGTCCGACGCGGAGGACAAGCCGTTCAACCGAGAAGCGGCCAAGGCCAAGGCCATACAGGAGATGGTAGTCAACATGAAGTGCTTGTACATCGCGCAGTGCATGCTACAGAACATCGAGGGGAATCTGCATAGCAACGACAACCTCGTGACCATGCTCAACACGCTCATCGTACCGGCAGTCAGGAGTTACGAGGCGCCGATCCGCGAGCGCGGGCTGGAGTGCTTGGGATTGTGCTGCCTGCTTGACAGGGTAGGCTGTCACCTAGCCTTGCTCTCATCTGATTCCACGTCCACGTATGCTGACCACGCGCATGCAGAACCTCGCGGAAGAGAACCTCGCACTCTTCGTCCAATGCTTCCAGAAAGGCCACAAGGAGCTGCAGGATATGGCGGTCAAGATCCTGGCCGACATCCTGACCGTGCACACGACCATCCTGGTCCCCGCGCCACCAGCTGCCGAGTCGCAAGAGCCGGAGCTACGACCGTACCACAGGCCAGTGCTGAAGGTGTTCGCCCGGGCCCTGCGTCCCGGCTGCCCGCCGCCCGTGCAGGCCGCGGCGGTCGTCGCGCTGTCCAAGCTGCTGCTCACAGGCACCCTCTCGCCGACGGGGAAGACCGTCACCGAGACGATCAGGCGGATGAACGAGACCGCCGTCGACCAGATGTTGCGCGCGCTCATCCTGGCCTTCTTCAATCCCGGCACACGGGACAATCTGACCCTGCGCCAGGCACTGACGTACTTCCTGCCGGTCTACTGCCACTCGCGGCTCGAGAACGCGAGGCACATGTGCAGGCTCGCAGTCAGCATGGTGGGGATCATCCTCGCGGCTGCGGAGGAGTACTTCTCGCTGGAGGCGGAGGAGGACAGCGACGGGGAGTTCGTCGACGAGGAGTCGGGCGAGAAGGAGGTCCGCGCGCTCATGGCCAACGTCATCGGGATGCTGGTCGAGTGGACCGACGAGCGCCGTGTTGTCGACGCGGGGCACGTCGCCGTCGTCAACGGCGAGGCCAGAGACCGGCCGCCCGCGTGGCTACACCTCAGCATCGCGCGCGATATAATGGAGCGGGTACTGGGGGCTGGGGACTGGGCCGACGCCGCCGCGAGCAAGGGCGAGCGCAAGTACCTTCTGTCCATGCTGGGCAAGCTGCACGTACCTGCGCCGCCGACCGTCGTCACCGAGGAAGGGGAGGTCAGGAGCGTGGAAACGGGCGTGCGGCTGGCGACGGCGCTGAAGGAGCTGTTCGACGAGGCGATTGCGCTGAACGTCGCTCCCGACGCTACGAGTCGGAACGCCCTAGTGAAGGGCAAGAACGCCGTGCTGAGGATCATGGCTGGGACGCAGGCCGGCGACGCTGCCAAGGGGTCCTCGGGGCGGGGTAGGAGGAGAGGCACCACCGCCGATGCTGCGGACGACGAGACGGTCGCCGGCAATGAGACAACGCTGTCGACGGCTGCCACGGACGCCACCGCCCTGGAGGACCGCAGCACAGCCACGATTGGGCAAACGCGAGATGGCGACGGCGGCGGCGACGGCGGCGGCGACGGAGACGGGGAGTCCACGATCCTAGCTCAGGGGATGGAGCAGATGAAGGTGTGACGCAGCCTTGTTATCTCGCTACGAGATCACGCCATAGTACCAGTAGCTATCACACCCGACGTTGCGGTCCACGCAGCCATGCTTCTATCGTGTTTCTGCATTGGCGCCAGGGCTACGAAGCTGGCACGCGTGGAGTAAGCATCGGACTGTCGCCACCACCAGCCCGTGTTTCTTTCTCATGGCACCAGCTCACCATCGTGATGCCCAGAGGTTGGTTATGTAGCCGCCAAGAATGCTGCAGTTGTGACCCCTGAGTCTCCCCAGGGACGTCATCAGATATCGCAGCCAGTCATTGTCCCGAACAATTGGGAAGTTGGCCGAGTGGTTATGGCGCTAGGTTTAGGCTTAAGCGACCGGAGTTATCTTTCGGTCGCCGATTGGCGATCCCTAGTTTCGAAAGATTCGCGAGTTCGAATCTCGCACTTCTCAATGTTTTTGTCCGGTTGTCGTCTGTTGGTCGGTCATTGCCAGTCACGTGACTAAGACGGTCACGTGACATGTGACAGCCCCTGAGACTGCTCGAACAGGGCATCGGATTGAGGCACTGTAGACACGCCTGAGAACAGCTCTCGTCGCCGGTGAGAGCGAGACTGCTTGCCCGGCATGCTCAAGCTTAGGCGCTGCGCGTAGGGTCCAGCGTAAGATCATGGTCTGCCAAACTTGTGAGGCGAGTACGCATGTTGAGAGACAGATTGCTGCGATTGGAGGATGTACGTGACATGGGGGTATAAGAAGGTCAGCGCAGGCTAACAGGAACTCTCTCAGTCGTCATCGTCATCCTCGATGTCATCGTCGCTGAGGATGAGCTGCTCCATCGCCTCTGAGGGCGGTGCGTGGGCAACAGAGCCATCAGCGGCAGGTTGCGTATAGCCAGAGCGCATACCGCGCTCGTCAGGCCCCGCCTCTGGCACGTCAGGGAGCTGCGACCAACGACTACCGATCCCACGGTACTGCGTGACTCGGTCGAGGGATCGCCGCTCGCCTTCGTCGCGGGTGATGCGGCGGAGGTATGGGAGACGCTCGAGCAGGACGTCGTCGCGCGTCTGCAAGCAGCGCGGGGGTGCAGTGGTCGGGTTGGGCGGCGCGCTGATGGCTGTCGCCGGCCGCTGTGACTGCCACGGCCGAGCCGACTTCGCGGAGGCAATCTCGGCAGCCTGGTGGCGTGCCAGCTTGGCTACCCAGTGATCCAGCAAGCCCTCCATCTCCTCGGTCCGCCGCCACAGCTGCGCCGACGTCGGGTAGTACATCTTGTGCGCGTCAGCCGCGAACCCGCAACCAGCGCGGGATGACCCGGCACCACCCTGCGTCCGCTTGACAGGGCAGGGGAGCGCGAAGAGCAGTCCCCTGACTCCGACGTGGAAGCTGATCTCGTCCTGCCGCAGCAGATCGGACCCTTCGCCGCTGTAGCCCTGCAGCACCGAGCTGCGCGCGCTGCCCGTGCCGGCCCTGCTGCCGCGCAGGCTGCTGTAGGAGTCCGAGGCCAGCAGATCGGCTTGGGAGAGGTACTCCATGCAGTCGTCGAAGTGCGCGCAGAACGCCGCGCCGCTGCAGGAGAGCGGGAAGTTCTCGTGGAGCGACGCGAGGAACGTCGACGCATCGGTGCCGGTGTCGTTCATGAGCGACTCTGTCTCGACCTGCGAGACCAGCGGGCGCGCATGCTGTGAGAGGTGGGGCGGTGGCGCGGGCAGGACAAGCATCGGGTCCGCAGCGTCAGCGGGAGCATCGCGCTTGTTATGTACAACCTTGCTGGTGGCGTGGAACAGCCCCAGGCTCGCCTCTCGCTGCGTGACTACCTGCAGAGGCTCATGCGTCGTGGTTGGCCGGGCGCTTCGTGCGCGCGACCGTGGCGGCGCGGCGCTGCCTGTCGGGCGCGACGCGTGCTCGCCTTGGAGGCAGTAGAACTCCACCGCAGAGATGGCGCTGCGTATGTCGCCCGTGCCGGTGAAATGCTTGATCGCCGCTGGTCTGAGATCGCAACGCCGCCTGGTCCGCTGCGCATGTTTCTTCAGCACCAGCGTGAAGGCTTTGCTAAGGAACGTGGGCGCAACGGGGTTGAAGTCGATGAACGCGAGGCCCGGGTGGCTGCAGATCTCGGGGCCGAGCAGCCTGAACGCCGAGAAGGAACCGTGCGGTCCCCCAGCCGAGTTCAGCATGGCCTCGGAGACGACCATGATGACTGGGGGGCTGGAGGGTGTCGTGGCGGCTGCGAGGTACTTCTGCACCGCTGCTCGGAAGGACTGGAGTCCGATGGAGGCCGGGCCTAGCAAAGCAGGGAACTCCTCGATCAGAAGGGCCCTTCTGTCATGCTTCGCAGCCTCGACATGGGCGTCGACGTCGCCGCCGTCCGGGCTCTGACTGCCTTCCGCCAACGTTAACGCGCCGAATTGCTCTCCCCGGTTGAGGAACTCATCGAACTGTGCGCTCAGCGACAGACTGCTCGCGGACGAGCCCTCCGAGACAGCAGGCTGCCGCCACTCAACAAGCTCAAAGCCCATCAGCTTCGCGAGCAGCGTGACCGTCATGGTCTTGCCGCTGCCCGCGGGCCCGCGCAGGACGAGCACCTTCTGCTGGTGTCGGCCTTGGAAGGCGTCGCTTAGCCAGCGCTGCACGTCGCTGACTTTCTTGTGGTGGACGGCGAGTTCGGAGAGGTTGAGAGGGGGGTATTGGTCTGCCCATGGCCGGGTGGGGCCTGGGTTGTCCTGACCAGGCCGTACGGGAGCCGTTGCTTGATACCCAAAGTCCATGATCACGGCGCGCGCGTCCTGGCTGGTCGCGACGATGCGGCGGTAGTCGCTCTTCGCGCTGAGGATCCAGCTGGTCGTCCAGTTGGGCAGGTTGGTGCGGAGCTCGCCGGTCTCGGCGTCGAAGACCTTGACGCTCATGTCGTAGCTGCCGCTGACGATGCGGCGGTTGACGGAGTCGAGGTGCAGCGAGCGCACGAGCGTGGTGTGTCCGTGCATCTCGCGCAGCAGCTCGCCGGAGTTGGCGTCGAACTCGTAGATGACCTGGTCGTTGCCGCCGGCCAGGATGTAGCGCGCGTTCTCCGAGAACTCGACGCACGCGAGCCCGCGGTTGCGCGAGGTGAACTCCTTGATGCAGGTGCCCGAGCTGATGTTCCACAGCTTCGCCACGCCGTCGCCCGACGCGGACACCACGCAGTCGCCGCGCAGCTGCACCGCGTTGACGGGGCCGTGGTGGCCCATCAGCTTCTTGATCAGCGCGCCCGTCCGCCGGTCCCACACGCAGATCATCGTGTCCTTCGAGCACGAGATGATGTACCGGTCGTCGAAGCACACGTCCAGCACGCCCGCGCTGTGCCCGTGCAGGCGGCGGATGGGCCGGTAGTTGTCCTTCATGTCCCACACGATGCATGTCGCGTCCGAAGACCCAGACACCATGATCTCGTCGTCATACTGCAGGCACAGGATAGAGGCGTTGTGGAAGAAGTCGCCGGGCCGTGAGGGCACGGCGAGGTCGGCGTTGCTGTCGACGTGCATCGAGGGCGGCGACAGGCTCATGAACGGCGTCTTGCCACCCGGTGCTGTCGACGGATTGACGACGACGGTCGTAGGGGGTGGGATCGTGGCGGGATTAATGGCATTAGTAGTATTATTATCATTGGCGGCGGTTTGGTTGTTGTTGTTTCCCCCGTTCTGATTGTGGTTGGCGGCGGCATTGAGGTGGGCGTTCCCGTTGTGTTGCTGACCAGCCGTGAGCGTGGCGTTGGTCTGAAGAGCGTCGGGGCTGCCGATGATCTTGAGGCAATTCCAGGGGTACCTCGCGTTCCACACTCGGATGGTCCTGTCCCTGGAGCCGGTGATGATCTTGTTCTCGTCGAATTGCACGCAGTACACGCTGTCGGTGTGCCCGTGCAGATAGATGGCCGCGGCCTTGCCCTCCCTCCAACGAGCATCAAGGGCACTGCGAACGGCGTACATCTTCTTCCAGTCCTGATTATATCGCGTGCAGCCAAGACCCAGCGCAGTCGTCTGCGACAGCGTGCTGCGCCTGGCAAGCCGCTTCTGCATTTGGGCGTGATAGTCATGGTGACGGCGGAAGACGTCGCGCCAGACATGACGCGAAGACGCCTGCGCGTACCACGCCCGGCTGACCAGCTCCGCGTTCTTGAGCGACTCGGCGTCGAGGAAGGAGAAGACGTGCACCGAGACTTCCACGGGAAGGTGTGTGACGAAGTCCCTGCGGACAACCTCGTCTGTCCTGCTGCGTGACCGGCTCGTCCAGCCGGACATGAGCTCGTCTGATGCGTCGCCGGCCCTCTCCGCATCGGAGCTGACGTCGATCGCGCTCTCGCAGTCTTGCGCCCATGCATCTTTGCCTGACCCAAGACAGCACCCGCTCCCGCTCCCGCTGCCACTGCCACTGCCTGTCGCACCGCTGCTGCTGGCCGACGAGTCGAAGATCATGGAGTCACCGCGCCCACCCAGGCGAGAGCCATGGCTGCGTTCGGACGCGGATGTGCTGGCTGTCAATGGGGTGACAGGCGCGGCGAGGCGCGACAGCTGGACGCGTGACAGCGCTAGCGTGGGCTGCGCTTCCGTTGTGCTGCCAACGTACGCGTCGTCGTTGTGCATGATTGCGGTGGCGGGCAATCCATCGATGTGCCTCATGTTTGCCTCGCGGTGAATCACTGCCTGACTCGGCGTAGGCTGCGTGGTGGATGCGGAACTGCCAACAAAGCCAACGAAAGGGGCGGCAAGGTCCTCCAACGAAGCCGCCACGGCGAGCGATGGGGCTGACGGCGAGGTCTTAAGCTTCCGTGAGCTTGCCGCCGACGCCGCCCACCGCAGCTCGTTGTTGTCGCTGCTGGCGGCAGCAGCACAATCCTGTGCGTGTTGCCCATGGCTGTGATGATGCTTGCTGCCGATCTTCGTCGACAGTCTCCTAGCAACGTTTGCCAGTTCGTGTACGCCATGGCGGAAGCCGGATGAGAAGCCAGAAAAGCTCTTGCGCGCCGCACGCCGCCGTAGCCGCTGCGTGTCGTGACTATGGGTTGCGTCGTCCTGCTCCAACCGCCCTGCCGCGGGCGAAGCAGCTTCGCAGATGTCCGTGAGCTGGTGCATGCTGTCGTGCGCTATGTCGAGCTCTGCGAGAGGCGTGTCTGTGCCAGATGGCGACGCGTGCTGAATCTTGCCGGCCTGTGAAGCGGACTGAGAGATAGTGAAGTGACCGGTGGTTGGAGTTGTTGCTTCGAATTTGCGAGAAGACTCAAAAGCCATCGCGCTGGAGAGTGAGAATAGTCTCAGGGGTGACTGCAACCAAAGGCGAGATGACAGCAACGGCGGAATCGTGAGCGCACGATGCTGCGACGGACAAGGGGATGAATGCAAGCAGACGCTCGGACCAACAGGCCTGAGATGGGGCGGGAAAGATATGCTGAAGCCGGTGAGAGAGTGTAGTTGAGGCTTGGG